CTGGGTCTGTCAGCTCCTTGGCGGGCGTGCCATCTTTTCCTCCAGATTCGCGTAAACGTACCACGACATCAATGAGTCCCACGAAACCATCGGGCCCTTCGATTCCCCTATATTCGAATGAGTTTCTTCATCTCTATGATCATGACAACCATCATGTCAATACAGATAGTAATCTGTTTGTCAACCTTGAACTTGCCACGCATTTGGCGACATGGGTGAACGAGCCGGGCGCACTGGCTCGCGCTTCTAACGGGCGCTCTGCGCAGGATGTTTTTACCTGGTCGGGCGGTGCGCTGGACAGGTCACATTGGCCATCTCTTGCAACAGATACCATCAGAGACACGAACGTTGACATTGATGGGATGCACCCAACATGGAAGATCCTCAAGACACGAGATCCCGTCGGAAAGGACGAGATTGTAGGAGAGATCACGGGCAAAATCGGACCACTCTGGAAATACTGCGTTGAAGCCAGTAACCGCTGGCAAGAGCTTCGTCATCCAGAGCCTTTTGTTTTCTTCCACCCTCAACTGCCTCTTTATATCGATAGTCGCCATGAGGGAAACATACTCCGCTATGCGCGACGGTCCTGTCGTCCAAATGTCACTATTAGAACCTTCATCACCAATGAAGTGGAGTATCATTTTTGCTTTGTTGCTAAAGAAGACATAGCGGCCGATTCAGAGATTACCGCCATGTGGTACCTAGACCCACAACTGTTTGAATCAACCAATGGTGTCGTCAAGCAAGAGTTCAGTGACAACGCACAGGATGTGGCGGCTATGTGCATCAGCAATGTACTATCTCACTTTGGCGGCTGTGCCTGCGTCGCCCCACCCAATTGCCTACTAGCTAATGTGGATCGTCGTCGACATCCGAAGGCATTGGATACCAACTCGAAGCAAATGAGTTTAAAACGAAAGAAAACCAAAAGTAAACCGAACATTTCTCCCCCGGCGTCCAATAGCCGTGCTGGCAGCGAGGCCACTAAAAACCTGGAAGAGGATGATCAAACAGATACCCGTTCCACGTCAGGCTCTGCACGAGGTCAGACCCATAGTCGCGATCTCACGCCTACATTGCAGACCCCTACTGAAGGGCTCGTGTTCGGCGAATCTGAGCTTTCAGCTAGAGATAAACGGAAAATTGCTGCAGCGGAGAAGAAATTTCAGCAATTGGAACAGGACCAACAAGCTTCGCACAGAAGAAAGAAGCGAGCTAGCGGCCAGTCTACGCAGACAACACCGGTCATCGGGAGTTCGTCGGCTCAGGCAGGCTATTTCACACACGTCAGTGGTCGTGATCGCCAGTCTTACTCGCCAACATCAGCTATTTCCCCTGGATCTTTAAATGGAGGACGCCATGGCTCTCCGCGAAAAGCATCGAATCATGCAATTCCTTCGCTGCGGTCTCGGTTCGGGCGTCCTCAGTACGTTGACTCAGCGACGCAGACAGAACTCGATGTTAGTGATAGCCTTTCACCGTCTAATACTCCATCTCGTCGACCCAGTTTCGTCCCATTTACCCAGCGGCTGTTGAAGCGATGCTATGCGGACCGGATTCGACTGGAACAAAATAATCAACAACTTCCTGTGTCTCCCTCGTCGCAATCCAAGCATGCCACACATCTGATGTCCCCTGTGTCAAGTCCACGCGCAGGGCCACCTACAGTTACCACCCCGAGCGTGTCAGGTGACCGGGACGACATGGAAATGAAAGATGCAGTGTCCCCAATGGGTATCTCTCCAGGATGGCAACAAGAAACCTCTCCATTGTCAGGACGAAGTTCTATCAAACCTCCACTGCCACCACCGTGGCCATCCACCGCTGCTCATAACTCTCGAATACCGGGAGGCAAAGTAAACAATCATCGTGTTGATCTCCGCGTTCCACTTCCTGCTACCATTCCTTTACTACCTCCTGCCAACAGTCCAGGGTCTAGTGCACCGGCTGTGATATCGTCACCATCTACCTCAGATACGGCAATCCTCGGGTCTAGCGTAACTGCACCTAGCCCAGTGAAGAAGAAGCTTAGCTTAGGGGACTATCTTATCCGGAGAGGCACTCTCACTACTCCCACATCCGAAAAGCCCCAAACCCAAGCCACTCCGATGCCTCCACCCAAATCACCCACAGCTCAACCCCACATGAGCCGCGAGGTATCCACTGTTGGTAACAACGAACTTGCGCAAGCCCGGGCCGTCGGAGAAGGTGCAAGTGCCAAGTCCTCGGATGTCCCGATGAAGGACGTCTCTGGGCCGACCCAGGCTTCCCAGCTATCGTCGCTTTCCTGAGATGCCAGACCAATCCCTCATCCAGGCTGCCTCCTACCGGTGGCGATGATAGTAACAATGGGCAGTCTGTTATCTTTATTTATTACTTGAATCTGTACACGATGGGAATTGGCGTTCAGCCGTGGATATGTGTTGTCTTTTTGGGCTTATTTCGTTTTTCTGTTTCTTTTTTTTTCCCGTTTTGTGACGGCGTATCAGGCGTGTGGATGGAAAGGTTGGGAAATATACTCTGGGATATGAATCGGCAAAGGGTATGTATGGTGTTTAGGTCGATGATCAATCGTCACTTATGTGCAGCATCTGCTTCACGATTGTCTGAATTAGCTGTGTCCATTTGTTTTCTATACCTATTTTTTGTTATTTTTCTTTTTTATTATTATTATCCATTATATTAGGCTTCTATGATGACATGGCCCTGTTCTTTCTATCAGGGTTACAGCCTTAATGGAACCGAGTCGATCAAATGATGCGAAGAAAAAAAAATATACCTTTCAACTTCACTTCTGTCTCATGGATGCCTGTAGAGCGGAAGCCATGCTAGCAATCAATCTCTCTTCCGATGAGTGTACTTGGGAGAGGTGAGGGATAATCATGTGTGCGGGGTAAATCACATCTTATATCAGTCATCATAGTATCTCTATTGTTCCACAGTCGCTTCAGACCATGCAACCATTTCCCGTGCAAGAGGATGCAGTCTCAGCAGCCCATTACCCAACCACAACCATCTCTACGAGAAGACACCCATAATGCCTCCCACTTTGAACTCGAACAACCGTCTCTATCCCCAACAGATCGAGGGAAGGACGCTTGGTTGATATTAGCCTCGTGCTGCTTAATCCAGTTACCAGTCTGGGGTACAGCCACGGTTCTTGGGATGGTTTCGGATAGGATGCTGACACCCACTCGCTAGGCTTTTCTCTCGTCTATGGGATCTTCCAAGAGTATTATTCATCGCACAGTGACCTTCAAGGGAGCAAAGGGGATCTGGCAATAGTGGGAACAACCTCAACCGTAATATCCCCGAATCCAGCAGATATCTCTGGACCGATAGCAGTTGGACGGAGTGTACACTAACGGCTGTTGGAGTTTCCAGGGAATCCTCTATCTTCTTTCCCCTGTATCATTCACCCTTCTCACCCGTTATCCCCAGCTACAGAAGTACTGTGCTTCTGTTGGCCTGTTGCTCAGTGTTTCTGGTTCTCTCCTTTCCTCGTTCTCGATAACAGTGTGGCACTTGATTGTCACTCAGGGTGTTCTATGCGCCGTGGGGAATGGTCTGGTCTTTAGCCCGACAACCCTATATCTTGACCAATGGTTTGTCCGTCGTAAAGGCCTCGCGTATGGGATTATGTGGGCTGCCAAAAGTATTTGCGGTGTGGCTCTCCCTTTTCTAGCCAGCGCCTGTCTCGAACGTTTTGGAGCGAGAACTACCTTAAGAGCCTGGACAGTCACTACGGTCAGTACTCCCCTCGCCACGCTCAATCTATTTAATCGAAAGACAATTGCCGAAACACATATGCTCGCGATGCCTCTATTCCTGGTTCACCTGTACCCCTAAGTCCTCTCCTTTACGTGATTTTCCTAATGCTGGCGTACCTTTGCCTATGAATATCCCGTACTGGGGATATCCGCCATAGTTGTCCAGCCATGATTACTCGCTTGTAATAAGCTCAATACACCAGCAATAAAGCAACGCTATAAACATTCCACTCCAGGAGACCAAGAAAGCCTTAATGCCTTTGTCTCACTGGATAGCATAGCCCGCATTCTATCGGTGCTATTTGGAGCAGCCGAACTGACTCTTCCCAGCTACTCTCTACGTTGGCAGCTCTGCCATTCGTCAAACCGCGTATCCCACCCTCGCCATCGACCTCCGCTCGACGTCTGGACTTAACATTTTTGAAGCTGGTCACTTTCTGGATGTTACAACTGGGAAATATTATTCAGGGTTTTGGGTACTTTCTGCCTACGACTTATTTGCCATCGTACTCGACCAGCGTAGCTGGCCTATCCAATACTACAGGCACGCTTTTATTGGCCCTCTTCAATGCGACTTCCGTGGTTGGTGGGATAGTGATCGGCTCACTTTGTGACCGCTTCGCCGTTACAAACGTAATGCTTTTCTCATCAGTAGGTTCAGCGCTCTCTGTTTTCCTCTTCTGGGGCCTCTCAACATCAACCTCATCATCTTATCCAAGGGCTGCGAGTGGGCTTCTCACGCTTTTCTCCATAACATACGGTTTCTTTGCCGGTGGTTTCAGCTCGACGTGGTCTGGCGTATTAACGCAGATCAAGCGGGAGAGGCCATCGTTGGAGACTGGGTTGGTATTTGGATTATTGGCTGGAGGGAGAGGGATTGGTAATGTTATTAGTGGGCCTTTGAGTACCGCTTTGATCGAGAAAGGATCAGTTGGTGGGAGTGACACCGGATATGGCACGGAATACGGGGCATTGATCTTGTTCACTGGCATAACCGCCTTCCTTGGGGCTTGGAGCTGGATGTGGCATTGCCTGAGTGTCTATTGTCATTCATAAAGGTCCCTAGATACAGAGGTCTAGTAAGCGTTCCAGTGCTGTTGCTGGAGTGAGTTTGATTAAATGAATACATACATTTCGAGAAGCGCAGGTCACGTGTAGCCTCTATTTCTTGCGGACTGGTGGACCATCAACACTCACCACTTCCGCAAGCTCAATAAGCATCATCATTCTCACACAGGCTTGACTTTCTTCTAAAGGATCGTTCGGTGTGGTGGTAGTAGTGTACTCGCGAATTAGCCACCATAATGGAAAGCGATCCCTCCCTCCAAGATCCCCTTCTTGCCCTTCGCCGCGCTATTGCGGCCGGCAGTCTTCCCACGCCGACGACCTCCTCCGACCCTTCAGATCAGAATGCTACCGACAACCTAGCTAAAGCAACACACCTTTTCTTTCGGAATCCGTCGCCGCAGACTATCCCATTGAATGCACCAACGCGTTTCTTCTCAAACGCCTCTGACTCCGCTGTCGACCTCCGCAGTATCTTCTTCGCTTGGCAGAAGAAAGATGTCGCAATTCCGGATTACATTGCCTCAGCACAGGAATTGAATGAGTCGCTAAAGCAGAAGGAACGCAAGGAAGGAGAGGAGGAAGAACAAGTGCAAAACCTGGTTTTTGTCGAGCGCTTAGACCTTATCACCTGGCTCGAAGGCGCCTCCGATGAGAGTGAATATATCAAACCCTTAGAGGGTGCAGCCGCTGCCGCTGCCTCCGCGGTGGATCAGGCTCAGGCCTCAGCTAATATTGCTTCTGGTGCTGCTGGAGGTGTTTCTGCAGTCCCAAGCGGCGCGCCTAGTACCACTGCGCCCTCGGGGGGTGCTCAGCAAGGAAAGACCGCGAAGGTTGTTGATCCTAGGTTACAGGAAATCTACAACGGTGAACGGAAGATGGGTGATCGGAATAGTGTTCTACGGGGGATCAAACCAACTGTACGTTAATTTGTGGGGGTACAAGAGTACTTGCGGTGCACCGGTCAACAAGCAGCCACTGACAACGCTCTCATTTAGGACTTCTCTCATGTTCGCAAAACGGCCGAGACATTCCTCGGTCGTAACCGCTCACGAACAGGTCAATACCCCCCGGGCGCAAAGCCTGGAAGCAAGCCGCAGTCTATCATACCAGCGCCATCTGCCGGCCTTCCTCAACCCCGGAAGGGCAGCTCCAAAACACAGGATCCGATCATTCTACTTTCACCATCGGCTTCGTCTCTCATCCGCATGTCAAATGTACGGTCGTTCCTCCAAGATGGTGTTTTTGTACCTCCCGACCACCCCACCCTCTCTATGCCCAGTTCCAACATTCTGTATATATCTCGCCCACTGCGCATCCTTTCTGACCCATCCAACACAACATCCCGTGCTGTCGGCTCCCAAAATGCAACCAGAAAACCGACCCGGTTCATCCTTGTCGACAGCACAGCCAATTTCAGACCAGACTACTGGAATCGACTCGTTGCCGTCTTCACAACCGGCCAAACCTGGCAATTCAAGTCCTACAAGTGGTCCTCCCCGCCAGAACTCTTCAAGCACGCATCCGGCATCCACGTCGGCTGGCGCGGCGAAGGGGTCCCGCGCGAAGTCCGCGGTTGGGGCCGTGGCGTTCAAAGCTTCTCTGTCGAGCGATGGGACGAAAAGGGCGGCGTTAACGGTGCAGGACGGTGGCGAGATCGCGAAGTAGTCGAGGGCATCTGGACTGTGATCGAAGAAGGCATGAAACAAAGAGGCTGGGGCAACAAATGATCTCCGATTCTCCCTCCTCTTTCTAAACCAAACGTCAACTCCTTGAATAGGTTCTCACCCGCATCAAACACATCCATCCGGTTACTCAACTTTAGGTCAGATGGCCCAGCCGCATTCTCCCGAGGCTGGGTTGAACTAACTATAACTCCATTCCGTAAACACGGCATATATGAACCAACGAATGCTCTTGGGATGGTTATCGCAGATGCACTGTCATAACAGCGTCACGGCCTTTGTCGTCTCTACTCGCCTTCGATAGTTTACATTCGCCGTCTTTATGCGTCAAATCCATGAATTGGTCCGTCATGTTTCTATAGAATCTACTCCCGTCTTATTGTGTTCATTTTGTTACTGGGCCTGTTTTTTTTTTTCCCTTCTTTTTTGATAAAACGATGGATGAGCTAGTTGTGTTATTTATTATTTTGTTTTTTTTTGCTTCTCTTTTATAACCGTCGAATTTATGGATGCAGGGAGGGCGTGCAGGAGTTTTCTGAAGCTTTGTTATTTACCATCATGATGATTTTAAATACCATACGCGGATAGTCTTGTCCCGCTAATTACATCTTTAGCTGATACGTTCATCGGGGATGCGCACTTTGCTACATTCATCGATGGCTTTGTTTTGACACGTGGTTGCCATGTGGTCTTGGGGCTGAAACTGCACCACGTGATGGAAGAATCAGGGCTCGTATATTTTTTTTTTTTTACTTTTCTCTGCATGTCTTGAGGGACGATCCATGTAGTAGTGACATAAAGTAGGGGAATGACAAATGAAAAAGCCATAATCGCTGAATCCTTGAAAATGCAATCAATACGCAGAACAATGCTGAATGCCGACGGTATGACAGCATATACATCAACTCTTGGACAAGGATAATGCAGGTCGAAGGAAGAAGAGGAAAATACTAGACAATATAGTAAAGAGGTAAGAGGAAACTGACAAATCTCTAAAAGGCCACACGTGTATGCCAAAAAGCCAAATCAAAGGTTGAAAGAAAAAGAAACGCCTCTCTAATGCTGGAAAACTTTCATGTCTCAGCCTTCCTCACGATTTCTCCATACTGGTCAGAAATCACAAATGAAAGAGAAAAAAAAAAAAAAAAAAATGGGAAACCGGGTAAATATAAATATTGGAAGACCATCAATGTGGGTCATCTCTATCACATGATCCATCGAGATCGTAACATCTTTCATGGGTCGTGATAACTTTGATTACAAAGGAAAATCATACCGCCGAAATGGAACGGCTCAAAGGTGTATTTGGTTCCGGTAAAGAGAAAATAAAGGTAGAACCGGAGGAGTGTTCGTGTCAAGGTGTAGTGGACAAGCGAAGGAACCGCTGGAGCGGTGTTGGGAGTTCTGACATTGTCGAAGTGCCGTGAACCGGAGTCATATACGTATGATCAGACTCTTCGGCTGTGGAACGCCAAGTTTAGGCCCTTCCTTGCGTACTGTACCACCGCAGGGTAGGGTAGTTCGGCTCAAAATCGTAATTCCAAATCGACCGCGAGGTACACGGTATAGTCAGTCTATTGTCATGACCGAGCCGAGCGACTCATCGAGCGTTCGGGAACGTTGGCTGGTGTTGGCGAATAAGACCTTGTGGCGCCGATCAACTCGACATCATGCTCCTGAAGGATATGGGCGTACTTAGGGTCGCGCAAAAACTTCGGGATCGAATCCTGTAAGATGTTAGAGATCAAATCGCAGAACTCTCCAGGCGTCGGGAAGATACTCACACTTGACATCAACTTGAAAACAGAAGTCTGCGCCATCTCAAACAAATGCACAACTTCCTGAAGACTCTTGAACATTGATTCGTCATCCCCTACAGCCTTGGTCATGCGACTGGCCAAGCTGTTGCGCAGTGCGTGGTCAATATTGAGCTCACAGGGAGAACCGGGAGCCAGGAAGGCGTTATAAAGACCTTTTAAACAGTCAGTATGGGTTGCACTTGAAGTGAGACGAAAACTGAGAGCTTACCATATGCTGCAGCCAGGGTCTCACGAACAGAGTCAGACTTCTTAAATGTGCCAACCTTCTCCGCCTTGTGATAAGTTGCAGTAAACTCGGAAACATCCAAGTAGAAGGACAGATTCTCCTCGCACAAAGAATAGCGGAGGAATTCACGGAAAAGAAGTCTCAGAGCAGGATCATGAAGAATGTGGTTCAATCGAGCGTTGTTCGAGTCCTTTGGAATACCGCGGCTGTCGTATGCCGTAGTCTCACGAGACTTGTCCCGTGCTATCCACCCACAAACCCGCTGGCCTCGTTCCGTAATGCCATAGATTGCGTTCTTGGAGGGTTGAAATCCTACTATCGAGTTGTCCGGCAGAGGCATCAGCTTATCCTCCTGCAACATTGTAATCATTCCATATTTGACGAACAGCTCAGCAATGAGGACAGTTTCTCGGCGTTCGATGGTAGTCGAACAGTCCATCAGCCAATCCACCGCGGCTTTTCCAGTGAAGGTGTTGATAACAATCTTGTCGTTGATTTTACGCTCCTTGGCCATCTTTACTCCAACCAAACCATTCGAATAATCGCTCAGTGAATCCGAGTCGGAGGTGGAAATGCTGCTCTTGACATTGGGTCCATCTTGACCAGCAAACCGGCGAAAGATGACCTCAATAGTTGCACGATCATGGGATAGTTTATCGGTCTCGGAATCGCGCTCCAGGTTGACAAGTTGCATTGTATTACGAGGAGATTCCAGCACATCAATCACATGGCGTGCAGTGATACCGTTCCTCTGGCAAAATCTTTGCAAGATATTGATTCCTTTAGGAGTAAGTTGATACAAAGCACCCTTCAATGGGAAAAATTGAGAAGCCTTGCCATCAACAGACTCAATGAACCTCGCGTCGACAAACCGTTGGCACACTGAGCGGGCCATTTCCTTGGCCATGGAGAACGTGGTTGTCGTAGTGGTCGTAACAATACGAGAAGGATCCTTGGGGTCTGGCATGCGGTTTGACTGGGAAAATTTGAGAGATCCAAGATTGTTGATTGCTTCTTCAGACGTGAATGAGTGGTCGTATCTCGTAAATCGTACGCGATGCGAATCCAGTTTCAAGCTGACCATCAATGTCGAAAATAGATCCATGAAATCCTGCAAAAGTCAGTCCGTTAATAATAGTCTATATTCAGGCGCTCTGCCTTTTTTATAGAAAAAAATATATTTTTCTTCCATGGATTGGAAGAGAGGGTGAAGAGGCAAAAAATGAAAAGAAAAAAGGACGGATTTCGAAAATTCCTACCTTGGTAAAAGGACGATCATCTTCGGTCATACGCAATAGCCTTGAAGATGTTTGATGCATTTTTGATGGAATTACGGCTTGCGCCTGTTGCCCTACCAAAGATGGGACGTGTTGAAGGGTCTGACGGCGCCTTTCGACTTGTTCGGCCACAGCCGGAGAAATCGGGTTGAAGGGAGACTCAATGGGTGTGTTACTCAATTGCTCACTGCTCGTGCTGCTGTCCGATAATGGTGGAGTCAGCGGCGAGGCTCCTGCGGCTTCACTGACGCTGACTTGGGAAGGCTTGCGCGAATGTTTCGACAAACTGCCGGACGAGGCTGAAGAACGTAGAGTAGCGTTGGTGGTACCTCCAATGGCCGACAGATTGGCAAAAGCGTTCGAAGTCTTTTCACGGGCCAAAGCAGCGAAAGATCGGCGATTACGTCGCGAGATCGATCCAATTACAGATCCAGTGAAACCGGTAGTGCTGGTGAAGGTGGAAGGTCTTGTCGTGGGGGCAGCGACAGCAGCGGGGGTTGCGGACGTGGGAATACAAGAGGCGGATGGGGGAGTAGAAGAAGAGAAGTCGTCCGGGGAGGAAGAGACCGGGACAGGTATGGTAGAAAGAGAAGATTGGGTAGGAAGACGGTGGTGAGAATGACGAAGATGTGAAGAGGGAGGAGATCCTTGGTCGAGGGGAATGGAAGATATGGTTGGCATTGAATAGTGCGAACCAGATAAGTGGGAGTAAGAGGGGGAAGGGTTTGTATGTATGTAAATGTGTATGTATGTAAGAAAAAAAAAATTGGTGAAGAAAGGGAGGAACCGT